CACTATGGTCTGATAATATACAGGGGATAACTTCAATTCCTTTGCACTTAAACATGTTCTTTGAGCGAGTATGTGGTCTATTTTGGAGAATGACCCATGTGCAGCTGAAAAGAATGTGTATTCCGATTTTGTGGGGTGGAACACTCTATAAACATCTCTTCAGTTCATTTGTTCAAGAGTTTGATTGAGTTCTTGTATTTCATTGTTTATTTTTTATCTAGTTGATCCATTTGTGACAGTGGGGTATTGAGGTCTCCCACTGCTATTGTATTAGTGCTTATTTGATTTTTCATGTCCGTTAAGTGTTTGTTTTATATAGTTGGGTGCACTAGTATTTGGTGCATATTATGTTTATGATTGTCATCTCTTCCTCTTTGATTGTTCCCTTTACCAGGATGTAGTGCCCTTCTTTGTCTCTCTTAATCAGTGTGGGTTTGAAATCCAAGTGGTCTGCAAAGAGGATAGCTACTCCTGCTTTTTTTCGGGTTCCTGTCGCATGGAGTATTGTTTTCCACCCTTTAACTTACAGCGTATGAGTTTCTTTTTGAATTAAGTGTTTTTTTTGTATGCAGCATATTGTTGGATTTTGCTTCTTGACCCATTCTACCAGTGTATTTCTTTTGATTGGTGAGTTGAGATCATTAATATTGATGGTTATAACTGATATGTATTGACTTGTCATTGCCATGACTTTTTCTTTTTGTTAGATTCTCCCCCTTTCCATTTAAGTTGTTGTTGTGCCAGATGGATTCATTCTGCTAGGCTTCCTGGGGTAGTGTTCCTCGTCTTTTCCTGGGATATTGCCTAAAATTGTTTGGAGTGCTGGTTAAGGTGCTCTTTGTTATGAAAGTATCTTATTTCTCCATCAATTTTGAAAGATAGTTTTGCAGGGTACATCAATTTGTGTTGCAGGCTGTTTTCCTTTAGGGCTTGGAATATGTCACTCCAAGCTCCTCTTGCCTTGAGGGTTTTTCGTTGAGAAGTCTGCTGTGATTCTGATGGGCTTTCCTTTGTATGTGATTTGTTTTTTTTCTCTAACTGCTTGTAGAACTTTGTTCTTCTGTTGGATTTCTGGAATCTTAACTTATATGCCTATATGTAGATTTTTTTTTGATTAAGGCTAGTTGGAGTCCTATACCCTTCACTTATCTGTATGTCAGGTTCTTTTCCCCTGCTTCGGAAGTTTGCTGCCATCATTTCTGTGAACAGTTTTTTTATGTCATCTGCACTGTCTCCTGTTTCTTCATTGACTCTGATTAGTCTTATGTTATTCTTCTTTTCATTGTCTAGTAGCTGCTGGATTGATTTCTCATGGTCCCTTACTATTTTAAAGAAATTTTTCTTTTCCTGGTCACTAATTGCAATCTTATTTTCTATATCTGAAATTATGTGCTCACATTGGCTCATTCTCCTGTGTAAACTTTCAGTGGAGCTTTTCACCTCCTGGAAATCAGTTTGCATTTGTTTTATGGATTCCATTTGTTTCCTATGTTGGGACTCCATCATGTTCCTCAGCTTCTCTATTTTTTATCTGTGTCCTCTCTACATTTATGTATCATGTCTTGCACTGTGGGCACAATCTCTGCTGTTATCTGAGAAATTATTTCTGATTTCATTTTTTCCAGATCGTCTTTTGTTGCTAGTTCAGGTAGTCCAGGTGGTTGAGTATCAGATTGTTCCATCTTGTGTCCCTTTGGGGTTGCTCTAGGCAATCTGGAAGTCTGGTTTTGAGGCTTGTTACTTATGTGCCTTCTCATTTCAATCTGGTGGGGGGTTTCGTGGGGGAGAGGGGTGTGTGCTACTGGTGCCTGTTGCATTCACCTCCTCTGCGCTGTGGGTGGTGGTATGGCAGAAGGCTCCTCCTTGGCACGGTGGGTGGCTCTGCTCCTCAGCTTCTTTGCTTTTTTTGAGATAGGGTCTAGCTGTGCAGTTCAGCCTGGTCTTGAACTCACTGTGTAGTCAGGTTGGCCTTGAAGTCGTGATGATCATCCTCGTCAGCCTGCTGAGTGCTGGGATTACAGGTGTGCACCACTACACCTGGCGTTTCATGTTATTTCTTGTGTAATTGAGATTCCATTTACAAAGGCCTTGCAATGCTTTGTCTTCAAGAGGTTCACCTATTTTATCTTCAGCAGATTTGGTGCTTCTCTTGTATTATTTGGGTGTTTGCTCTATTTTGATTTCTTTGTGGAGATGAGAAGGAGACCTGGGAATAGAGGGAGCTGGGTGGGTAGGGAGGGGAAGGGGCACTAAAAATGATTAAGATGTGATATGCATATGTGCCAATTCTGCAGACAGATGAATCATTATGTATTGCAGATATATACTAATTTAAAAGAAAACAAGTTTTAAAAAAGGGCAACGTATGAGTATATGTGGAAAAAAATAACAAAAGATCTGCATCATGTTAATTCTCTCTGTGTTGATTCTGTCTGAAGGTTACTTCATAGCTAATCTGTGCTTGTTAAACTGTTTTCAAGGAAAGAGGATATTATTTCAGTGTCCAAACTTCCTTAAACTAAGATTGGATTTGGATTGTTGTTGGTTTTCAAGTATCGTGAGGTTTATTATTAGGTTATGTATTTGAGCTTGCTCTGTTTTTCTAATGCGAGCATCGATTGCAGTAAGATTAGTAGGACTTTTTTTTTTATTAAGTCACATAGATTCTGGTATGCAGTACTGGCATTGTCATCTGATTCCAGCAATTGTTTTATTTCTTCTGTGACCTATTCAGTGTTCAGCAGTGAGTTATTAAATTTCCATGTGTTTATAAATTATCTGTGGTTTCTTTTGTGATTTATTTCTAGTTTTCAGTGCACAGTGGTCTGATTATGATTTGGATTCTTTGGTATTATGCTGACTTTGTGGACTAATATGTAGTCTGTTTTGGAGTAAGTTTTGTGTGTTGCTGAGAAGAATGCATATTCTGTTGTAGTAGGGTAGAACACTCTGTAGATATTTATTAAGTCCATTTGTTCAGAGGTGTGGTCCAGCTGTGACATTTCTTTGTTGGTTTTTTATTTAGTTGATCTGTTTGTCTGTTTCTGTTTTTTTTTTTTTTTTTGCAAATAAATTTAATTTCAGGAACTGAGTTCACCATTTATAAATACACTAAAGCATAGTCCATAGAAATTTACATTAAGTATAGGTACAATATTTTAACAAAATGACAACTTTTTTTTTTCAGGAAAAAATGACAGCTTTTTAAAGAGATCAATATTAAATTGATTCAAAATGAGAAAATGAACCCTTTTTCAGAACACAAAAACTTTGAGGACATATTGATTGTTAAAAGTATCTGACAACTGATATTTCATTCTGTTGTCACTGGGATTCTAAACACCCAAGTAATGGCTGGATCTTCCCTAGCATAAAAAATGTAAATGCTTAAGGCTATTTTCACAACTGCAGTATGACCAGCACCTTCCCTGTTTTAAGAAGCCATCTCCTCTAAAAGGGATCTTAGCCGTAACTGCTCAAACTGGGGGTCCATGCACATGTGTAGGGGATGGCTTCAGAGCACAGCGCTGAACAAGCAGCACAGAGATTGGATCAACAGGTTGTCTGCTGCGAACATTTCATTTTATGTACTGGCTAAATCATAAGCACAAGTTTACAAACTTGGATCCAATTCGGAAGGGCTCATGATACAGAGTTGGGGTACCTCTGAGTTAACTGTGTAAAAACCTGAATACAAAAACCCAGAATGGAACATTCTGGTGATCAAATGACTGACACTCTGCGACACTTCACTTCAGTTTCATTTCAAAAGCCCTGTCCTTGTTAAAGAGTCAGCTTCCAGAATATTCTCTCTGCTCGACGCTTACAGCCTACAGCTGCGAACTGCTTGGTCAGCCTACAGCAGAGGTCTCCCACTATGTGTGTTTGTGTTTATTTAATCTTTTATGTCCCACAGTATTTGCTTTATGAAGTTAGGTACTCCAGGATTCAGTAGATAGATATTTACAAGTGTCCTTTTCCTGTTGGATTGTTCCCTTAACTAGTATGTAGTGACCTTCTTTGCTTCTTGTGATCAGTTTTAGCTTGAAATTTCCTTTGCCTGAGAGTAAAATTGCTGCCTCTGTTTGCTTATGGAGTCCTGGTGCAGAAAATAATGTTTTCCATCCTTTGATTTTTAATCTCTTTTTGAGTTCATTAAGTTTCTTGATTGTTTTTTGGTCCAGTCTTCCAATCTGTGTCTTTTAATTTTGGAGTTGAAGTCATTAACATTGAGTGCTATTACTGAAAGGCATTGATTCATTTCTGTCATTGTGTCCTTTTTCTGCTGATTACTGTATTATTTCTTTTTTGTTTATTGCCTTGCTTGATGGATATGTTCTATAGATGGACTTAATAGGTTAAATAGGATGTCAGATTCTGTTGGAGGTTAGTGTTGAAGGTTTTATGAAGATATTTGGGGATGATGTGTTTGTAGTAGGAGGAATGTCTTAATTCAGGATTGAGGAAGTCTTCAAGGGTGTCAGAACCTGGTGGTAAATTTGTGACTAAAAGGTGGAGAAGAGGCAATGGAAGACAAGGGGATAGGTAAAATAAGGAAAAACAAATAGTATAGACTAGGAAGGACAGTAGGTTAATACAGGAGAAAAAAAGAACTGAGTGAGAACAAAATATAGGAAAAAAACCCCTTGAATTTAAAAAATGGGAGAAACAATTAAAAAATAAGAAAATAGTATTAATAAGAAATGAATTGAGGAATAGGGAGAAGAGATGAGAGGGAGAAAACAATCACTACATCAAAGCAAAAAAAAAAAAAAAGAAAGAAAAAAGAGAAAAGTAGCAAAAAATAAAACCTAACAAAATCTGGTGAGAACTCAGATCAAACACTCCAACAAGAGAACTATGTGTAATCTCCCCATGTCTGCTATACCAGGCCTGAGGGTCCACATGTTCCCTTCATTAGCCCTTTATAGTGAAGGGTGGCAGTTTCTTTGAGCCTGCCTTCTTACTGAAGGCTGTACTTTGGGCATGCTTAACTGCATGCAATCTTCTATCTCTGTCCTGAGATCTGACCAACTCAGTTGAGAGGAGGAAGAGGATGTGAAATAATTTTTCTGACACTGAGCTCTCTTTCAGCTTCTTCCAAAGTCTTATTACTGCTACTTCCCTTTGTGCTGGGTTAAGCTCCATGTTCTTGCTTCAGATATTTTCTGATTAGTTTGTCACCAGATCTCTGCTCCCAGTCTGTGTTCCTTTGAGCTCAAATCTTTTTTTTTTTTTTTTTAAGTTTTTACAGTTTATTAATCCTCTCATGAAAAACCCGCAGTCACTGCAGACAGGCACTGCAAAATCTTTACTCCTTCGGCTGTTCTCCTAGCTCCAGCTCCCTTTTTGCCAGCACCAACATTGGCCTTTGTGGTGCCCCTGACTTTCTTCATTGTGTTCTTACGTTCCTTCCACTGCTTTCTTGATGTCTTTTTCTTCTCATACAGGCCATGTCTTGCAAGTCTATGTTTGGATTTATTTTTCTTTGCATAATCCAAAGAATCATAAATCATGCCGAAGCCAGTTGTCTTGCCACCCCCGAAATGGGTTCTGAATCCAAATACAAAAATGACATCCGGTGTAGTCTTGTATATTTTGTCAAGTTTTCCCCGAATTTCTGTCTTGGGTACTGTTGCTTTCCCAGGATGAAGGACATCAATGACCACTTGTTTCCTTTGAAGTAGTTGATTGGTTATGAACTTCTGGGTCCGGATAGTTACCGTGTCATTCATGATGGCAACAGATCCTCAGGCAGCCAGGGAGGAAAAGAGCTGTGCTCAAATCTTGAACTGACCTTGTCTCAAGAGCCCCCTTTTTCCAGCCAGCAGAATCTGACATAGTCCCTGGACTTGATTTAGGGTTTCTTTTTTTCCCCCTAATTGTGATGGTGGTCACTGTTTAGGATTTCCTGGTAACAACTTTTTCCAGTCTTTGTGCAAACTATAGGGAAGAGCTCACTCTGGACCAACTGGTCAGTCTCACTCACTTAGCTCTGCTCCAGACATGTGATCCTTGGTGGGTCCATGCCGGTTTCATAGGGTTTATATCTTCTCTGTGTGCGCATGTGCATGCGTGTGTGTGTGTGTTCCCTTGCCCAGTGTTAGGTGTGGTGGTGGGGAGAAGGGACTGGTACATGTAGTCTGTCTGTCCCGGGAGTGCAGCCCCTGGAGTGCTCGTTCATTCCCTCAGACTATTTGGGACTGGAGGGACCTGGGGCAGGAGTGTTTTGTGAACAGCCTTGATATCCCTGCCAGTTTGGCTTTCAGGGACCTGCATGTTTGATTTGATGTATGCGTACATCTTTCAGATTATTTTCTATTTGAGCTTTTGAGTACCTCTTCCCATTTTAGAATATCTGTATTTTTTGGTGAATCTTCTCTGAGTGTCCTTTGCATGACACTTCCAGTCAGCTGTGTGTGTTGGATTAACAGATTGGTTTCCTTAAGGCCAATGGATGCATAGTTAGACCTTTCTTTAAAGAGAGTACTGTATGTGGTTGAGGACCTGGAAGTAAGAGAAATTCTTTCTCCCCAGCCTGAACTACGTGGCGAGACCCTGTCTCAAAAACAAAATCAAAAACAAAAAATATAAAAAATATTCTGATCTAATTTGGTAAAAAGTACGTGTTTTGGGGGTTGGGCATTTAGCTCAGTGGTTCTGCCACCTGCCTCACAAGCACAAGGTCCTGAGTTCGATCCCCAGTACCAAAAAAAAAAGAAAAGTACATGTTTTGTATTTGAAAAATTGAAAACCACATGTGGAAATAGACTAATCTTTAAAAAATTACACTTACTATAAATAAGAATTATCTTTAACAGTCAGTAAACTTTAATATTATCATGTAAACTCAAGTGATTTGGACTTTAAGATTCTATTATTGTCATGTAAGAACTTACAGGACCTTTTACTTTTTGCTAGACCTACCTAGGCTTCATCAGGAAACTTGGTGGGTTCTATGACTTTAAAGAATTGTTGTAAAAAACACGTACATTGATTTTTAAGTATAGAGTTCAGTCGTGTTAAGTGTGGGCAGATCTCCAGGACTCTTTCTTCCTGTAACATTACCATGTGAATTTTAAACTGAATTATTTTACTCAGAATTTCAAGTGCTCCAGGGACAAAGCTTATCTAAGGTGGAGATTGCATATTGGTTTCCTCAATTCCCCATACAGAAGGCTGATCCAAACTCATCAGATGGAAAACTTACCTTCTGTGGCCTTGGAAAGTTTTGTTTTTAAAGAATTTAAAAATTAATCTAGCTTTGAGTTGGCATCTTAGTAACACAGTTGTAGAAAACTTGTATTTACTGTAGTTTATGAATTTCCTAGAGAAAAATCTAATCCTAATATTGAAACTTGATGCACAAACTCACTGTTTGGCTGATCTGTGTTTGTGCCCATCTGTTACTGTGGCACTGTGCCTGTTGTTATGGTATCATGCCAGTGGCACTGAGGCATGCGAGCCAGCACGGATGGAGTGCACTATTCTATATACTAATTAATTTTGAGCTGATGAATCTACATGAGATAGTGTTAACCAAATACAGACAAAGTAATGTCAGTGAAAATAAAATTTATTTTGACTTATGCAGTATATCACAGATGTTTTAGACTACCATTGTGAATAATTATAATTAGTGTTTGCGATGGTTCTGGTGATCAGTTTTCTTTACATAAAAAATTTGAGTTTAAAACATGCAGTAACTTTTCTTGTGGATTGTATATTAGTGAGAAAGTGGGGTAACATTATAAATTGTGGCTTTTTAACTTATAAGGTATTATTTTACAGTTCCACAATATATTCTTAATACTGTATGTTCAAGTTTATAGTAGAAATTGATGGTAGAGTAGTAAATGAAGACTGTTGGATTTTAAAACAAGACTAGTTTAACTCTTTGCTTTGCAGGTCCTTTGTTCTATGATGCTATACCTAAAAGTTGTATGAGTGTAGAATTTCTTTTATATTTTGTAATCCTCTAATTCTATATTGGTCTTTTCTGTCCTTCAGTTTTCTTATCTAGTAAATGTGAACTATAATAGCCACATATGCTTCATAAAGAGTTTGCGTTTCTTTGAATATAAGATAGTAAGCAAAGAAATGAGACAGTATTACCAGTTTTGGGAAGCAGTACTACTATCAGGTGGTTAAATAAATTACATGTTATAAATGCATGCACGTTAATGGTAATTAAGTGGTAAATTAGTAATACAGAGAGGGTATAACTTCCATTCCCATATTCTCAGAGGTAATTATAATGAACAAAGTCTTATGTATTCATTTTTAAGATAACAGTATTTAAAAATGAAAGGATTTTACATACACACATGTACATGCACACATATATACACAATTTTCTCTGTATCTTAATTTTTCACTTTATCTTGGAAATATTTTCATACAAGCATTTTAAACTACTTCCCTCTTTTTAACCACTGTATAATATTTCCTTATATTCTTTTTAATTCATTCCCTTTTTGAAGAGCATCTGATTGATTTTACTTGTAAATTGTAAGCTACACTACAATGTAAATTTTTTACACAGTTATATGAATTTATAGGAAAAGTTCCTAAAGGTACAATTGCAGATCAGAGTATTTTACATTTTGAAATATGATAGATAATGCTAAATTACCTTCTATGTGGGTTACACTAGGTTTTTCCTGGCCACTGACAGTAAAGTATGTTTTCCTCAGACCTTTGCCAATAATGGTAACATCATATTAGATGTTGTTTACCAACCTTATAGGTACAAAATGTTATTACACTGAGTTCTTATGAATACTGTATATTTAAGTATTCTTATTCATATTTATTGCTTTAGTTTTTCAGTGAAATACTTTTTAGCCGCTTAATAGTTTACATGGAGCATCACTTGGGCAGCACGTTTATTTACATACCGACTATTGAGTATTGCTTAGCGGGGTGTTATTTCAACCAGTTAATTCTTGTCCTGAATAAATTTGATAAAATTGTTGTTTTTACATTTCCTGTTATATTATCTTATAAAATTAATGAAAATTATGCAGTATTTGATTATCTTGTATTTAAATAATTGGACTGGGAAGTGGTTAAAATGTTCTTATAAAAATGCATTTTCCTATGGATCAATTTTTATTGATCAGTCATGGGCTTTTTGTCTTTTGAGGAAATTTGCACTTCTATTGGATGAGTTCCAAGTTAATTTTATCTGTCTTTTGACTTAGTTTATGGAATTTTGTGTGTGTGCAAAAATTTAAGAACCTTTGTTCTTGTATTTGTTAAATTTTTTCTTTTATTCTGAGACTTCTCTGGTCTTTTAGTGTTTTAAATAAAGTGGCATTTTTCCTTTATAGTTCTCTTAATTAGTGAAAAAAAGCTTCTTACCTGTTCCAGACTTTTTACCTCAGCATGTATAAACTCAGCCAAATCAGTAGTTCTATGAGTTATACTTTAAAGCTTTACAGATGAATAGTCACATTCTAGAAGATGTTCTTAATTTCCTGAACAAAAGTAGGACTTATTTCCGCCACCTGCTGAGAGACCAAATAGCTGAGGATATTGAGAGAGAGAATAGCAAATTTGGAGACTTGTGGTGATAAACTTATGATGTCATGGTGTTAGATACATGTGCTCATAATATGTGTACATAGGTGATTTCTGATTCTTAATCTTTATTAGGTTAAGAACGCTTTCTGAGAATCCAGTAAAACTAATTTTTTTTTATTCCTTTAAGGAATTTTAGTATATAGCTTGTTTTCCTTTATTCTTTCAATGAATATTTACTGTTTATGTATTGGGATCTGTGAGGAATTTAATGTACTTGAGAAAACAGCCATGGCGTGCACTTACAGCACTTCACTGGCCTTTAAGACCCATAGAAGTCTTTTGTTATCACCCAGGCTTACGTAACTACATTTTCTATTTTACTTCTTTGTGTACTTCTTATATTATTTTTCTTTTTCTTCTTCCATCTCCCCCGCACTGTCTTTCCTTTATTCCTCCACCCCAATTCATTCCTAGAATGAAAATTTCAAGAGATTAAGGACTTCGATGTTTAGAACCTTTTCCCTAGGATATAGGGGTATTGAGTAAATACAGGCTAATTACATACTTCAGGTGGTTTTTCTTATATTTTTCATCATTGGTGTGTCACATTCATATGGAGAGTCAGATGAAAAAGAATTACAGAGTCTAAGGTTGGAAAGAATTTCAAGATATAGAAGAATACTGGTTAGTGTATGAGTTTCAATGCAGAGGAGTAATCTAAAAGTATTTATGAGATTTTGCATTGGATTTTTAAATCAAGAGGTTGTTTGTTTCTCGTACTGTGCCAGAGGAGCTTTACTAGGGGAGTAAGGGAGAAAAAGATTACCAAGGATTGAGGAAGTGACAACATTATAGACTGCCCTTTTTTAATCTTGTGAATGGTGTAGGAGGAAATACTTATATATACTTGAATAATTTATGGTTCTTATTTTAGAGAGTTAATAGATGGATGAGTAGATGGTTGAAGACTTGAGCAATGGTAGCTGGAGTTTTGTTTTTAATTATTCTTGTACTTACAAAGTGAACACATTGCTCTAGAAGAAGTCTTGAAGGTTCTAAGCTTCATCTAAGGCAAGGATGGGCCCCAACTAAACTGAAAGCCTTAGTGTTGTGCACACAAACTTGCTGTGAAGTGAGCTCCTTTGGCTGTGTAGCACTAGAAAATGGTAAATTCTGACTATAGTTCCCAGCCTTTGTCTGTATATTCATGTTTGCAACTCACAACTTGGAGCAGTGACATCTTTGAGTGATTTTCAAAACATGAAGCGGTACCCAGATTTG